TATAGTACAGCCGTGTATAGCATACAGTAGTACGGTATAGCAAGGGGGCGAGAAATAGAAGTGAGGGTGAGGAAGCGGGCAATGATGAGGGGAGAGAGTAGAGTGAAGTACGTGTTTATCTCATAACATTAGAATAGTCTATTTCTGATATGTCTGAGAAGCAAAGTGATATCCTAAATGCAAAAATTTCCTAATTACTAAATATTACCAATCACTACGAAGCACAAGAAAGGATAAGTCCTTATGAAACTACCTTATTTGTTAGACGTCAAAGTGTTGGTAGCAGATTTGATAATGAAAGCAGGTGAGATGGTCAGGAAACTGAGGTGCGAAAGGACTCGGGGTTCTTGGACGACCGGTGCATGATAACGGCGTAAGAGAAGCACTTCTGGGGAAAAAAACGTCAAACTCCACGCTAGCATGAGATTCTCACAAAGTACATCCACACGATAAAGAGAAACAATGTCCATAGGGGGCATTAAGTGATCCAGCGAGAACTTGGCCCTTGATATGTAAGGTTTAACGTCCGAAAACGACCATATGATTATGAGAGACGCCATACTGGAGGGCGCCGGAAATTTCTACCTGCTTGGGTTTTTTAACGTGTACCCAAATCTGAGCACACGGGCCTACAGCGTTTTCGCCACTATCGAAAACGCAACCGCCGCAGCCGGGACTCGATCCCTCGACTTGTGGGTCAGCAGCCGAGTAAGTTAGCCACGAGACCACCGCGGCGGGGTAACTAGGTTCTTAGACAGGGTTTCGAGGTCAAAAATACAAAGAATAGCCAAGGAATGGGTAGAGAGAGAGAGAAAACATTTATTGAAAGAAGCTTGTGAGTGAAGGTGGGAGGGTCCCTTGTTCCAGGAACCCTCTGGCTTGGACAGCCCGCCGAGCTCGAGCGACGAGTTGACGCTGCTCGACCAGGTCCGGCTGGGAGATCGCAGCCTCCCACGCTTCACTGAGGAGGGAAAAAAATGTAGCCAACTTAGCCAAGTGCAGAAAAAGTGGAGAAAGTAGCAAAAGTAGCAGCGCAGTGGTAGTAGTAGTAGTAGTAGTAGTAGTAGTAGTAGTAGTAGTAGTAGTAGTAGTAGTAGTAGTAGTAGTAGTAGTATGCATCCGATCTACGCAGGGAATCGTCTCTAACGTAACCCTGAACAAGCGCGTCCTCTCCGGCTGGACCATGGAGCCAGTGCCTTTGGACAAATCAATTGTGGCGACGCACCTCACTGACGTATTTGCCGCATCGAACGTCTTGTCACCGTGCTCGGCTCCCGGCGCATTCTTCGGAACGTTCAAGCTGCCCAATGGTCAGAAGACGTTGGACACCTTCCTAGATACGACGGGTTGGGGAAAAGGCGTCGCCTTTGTCAACGGCTTCAACCTGGGGCGATACTGGCCGAGCATCGGACCACAGGTCAGTTTCATCGGGAGTTCACTTCCTGTCTACACTAAGCACTTTCACGCGGGGAAATGCAATAATAATGGTAGAAAAGGTGATAACCAGACTATGACAGGATAAAAGCAATATTTGTATATAGGGTAAACAAAATGCATACTAACTCTTTGTGCCATGCATTGTTATGTAGTGTTTAAAAACACATGCAATTCACAAATATAGATGCCAAAATTTTGGAGACAAATAAATTAGCTTAGTTCTACCCAGTGTCAAGCATTGGAGCTTCGATTCTACTGTGGTTGTATCCGAGTAGAGTTTATACGTTCGAATTCTATTTGCAAGCCACACACACACACACTCACACACACACATAAAAAGGTGATGTGACGCAGATCAGTGTATGTGTCTTCAAGCTGGTGTATTGATACGTTCACTGCGTTCTACGCAGTCTGATGCTTTCATGCGCAACATAAATAGCGTTCAGAACTTGAGTATGTATCATCAATCACCGGTTCATTCTGTGCTCCTTACATAGTAAAACACTTCCGCAGCAAAACGTAAGCTCTCAAGCACAGACCTCTCGTGCTCATCTTCCATGGTTAATAATAATAATAATAATAATAATAATAATAATAATAATAATAATAATAATAATAATAATAATAATAATAATAATAATAATAATAATAATAATAATAATAATAATAATATCTTGGCGTGTTGCATCTCACAATCAGAACCACGATATGCTTTCGAGAGTCGCCGTAATGGAGGGCTCCGGAAATTTTGATCGTTAGCGTGCACTGCTTTCACACGGGCATCTAGAATTTTGCCTCGATCGAAATGCGGTGACCACGGCCGCCATTCCGTATTCCATGACATTGGGGTCAGTATATAGTTCAGCACCCTTGCCACTGTTCCGCCGAGGCGGACCGTCTCCAACTGTTTGCAGCGGGTGTTGAGTGCATACGACTTCATAGTCGCCGCCGATCGAAAAATTTTGATTACTTTTCACGGCAATCTCCACGTTAGGATTTCGTGATTAGACAGCGTGCTACGTTTCCGTAGCGCTGGAGAAAACACATATCGTGGAAGAATCAGGACAGCAACGCATGAGTGGTACGACGACTCGAGAGTCGAAACCGAAGAGCTGGTGGTTTTGTCTTCCTTTCCTTCATGCCCTTTCCCACCCGCTTGCTATGTATGTAACACAAATGGCTGTGCCATAGGCGCTTTCTTTTTGTCCCTTTACATCTGTCTCTTTATCTTCCCATCTTTCTATGCTAGGATTGATATACCTGCTGACTGATTTAGTTCAATAAGGCCCAAATGTACGAAATCCTATTACACTCCTTAATTAGGAACAACATAATTAGCAGTAGTCGTTTAAACTGAGCTAAGGCTTAATTATTCAATTGTGTTTAGTCAATATTAGTCTTAATTGAACTGACCCCATTGAGCTTGTTGGAATTAGGCTAAACTATGCTTAAGTTGATTCAGTCAGGCTCAAATAGTCTTCACTGAGCTTAGCTTGGTTTTCTGGAGTTGGCGTCATTGCTATGCTCAATGACAATTCATCTACGGAGGCGGGGCTGACAGACATTAGCGTTGGCCCCACCGCGGTGGTATAGTGGATAAGGTACTCGGCTGCTGACCCGCAGGTCGCGGGTTCAAATCCCGGCTGCGGCGGCTGCATTTCCGATGGAGGCGGAAATGTTGTAGGCCCGTGCTCAGATTTGGGTGCACGTTAAAGAACCCCAGGTGGTCGAAATTTCCGGAGCCCTCCACTACGGCGTCTCTCATAATCATAGAGTGGTTTTGGGACGTTAAACCCCACATATCAATCGAGTGCAAGCGTAGCATTGCGAAGGTTATCTTTTCGCAGCTATAGGTGACGTCATAGCTATTCGCAGTTTTTGTCAGCACCACACAGCTCTAACGAAACGCTCGAAAAGCACCGCTGTTACAATCGGTTGTTGGTCCGTTTACCACAAGGTAGGTCTCGTAAACTATTGCAGGTGACGCTGTACGTGCCCGGTGTCCTGCTCCGCCCGTATCCGGAAGAAAACACCGTGATGCTCTTCGAGACAGAGTCCCCGCCCCAAGGCAAACGAACCGTTAGTTTCGTGGACATGCCGAATATCGATGGACCAGTACCTGGCGACACGACAACCCTGGGAGGCTAACAAGTGACACGTGGAATTCGTGTGACAACCCACGTGATGAAACACGCAGTATCAATAAATATGACGACCATGAAGTAGTGATGAAGTTCACCTCTAATTTACGTATCTGCAGCAATCAAAACTTCGACCAGTCAGTCTAACATAGTTGTGTTTTTTTATCATACTTGGCACTAAGTTGGTAGTAACGAAATCAAGTGAACTACGTTCCTTTCTGCCGTAGTGAGTGATGTAAGAAATCTGTTTGTGGGCTCGCATTTTAGTTACCTGTTGAATTCATTCAGGTGAGTAACCCCAAGAAGCTTACTGATTGCTTTCCCAATTATTTCAGACTAATTATTACTAAACATCGCATGCGCGCTTTCTTTATGGCATGAAGATCAAGAAAAAACAACAAGGATAAGTAAAAGAGACAAGCTAATCAGAATTGAAAAGTTCATCTGATAACCGTGGAACAAAGATATCAGAAATTACAATGTGGATGTGACATCATCAAGGCCTATGTCAGCTTATTGCTCACATGATTGAACCCGCTGTAATTTAAACAAAAGGGAATTACTTTTCGAAAAATTTATGTAAAGGGATTAAAGATGTAGATTAATTACTGTTTAAGGCTACAATTCGGCCAACCTTCCGTTCCATAAAAACTTTGCACAGCATTTCGCTTCCATGCGTTGGTCCCCACCTGTAACGTGAATTGACAAACTGTTTGTGCTATTATTCTCAATTACATTGAAAATTAACCTGAGAGCCGGCATGAATTTGTGTACGTCTTCGGAAAACGACTTGAGACAGCGTATGGTGTACAATGTAGGACTAATCCTGATCTTCCTATGACATGAAACTGTGGAAGCTATGGCTCGTCAGAACAGCTTGTTCAGACATTTACTTTGAAGATTTAGAGTATTCACAATACATAATATTTAACTATCCATAGCGGTACATTCGCACCCGACCACTATCTAGGCTACATTGATAGTTAATTTATCGGCACACGCCGTAAAACTTCTCCTCAACCTTTCGTGCCAAAGTTAAAGTATATCAATTTCATCAAAAGCAGCTGGCGTGAGCGCTTGAGGACTTCTATACTCGGCCCGTATGAATGAAGCTATACTTGTCCCGCAATCAGCACTCTCTTCATACGAGCCTTCAACCTTATTCTCCGTCGCTGGCGGGCGTGTTTCGTGTGAATTTGAGCCCGAGAATTTCGTGCAGTTATGCCAACGTTCTTTCTCGTATGCTTTCTAAAGTGTAATGAGCGCCCTTCAGGTTCAAAATAAGGTCGCCGAAAGAGGCCACGTTTTTATATTCGCTCCATATTTTATAACAATCAAAACGACTTGCCCTTGAAAACACGCCCGTTTTCTTTCTTCTTGTTCTCAACGGCTTCAAATATTCTGTGTTAGGTTACAACCTAATGAAAAAATGCCAGTTCCGCTTACAAAACCACAGAGTGTCTACTCTGAAAGAGTAATGCTAGCTGTTTAACTCAAGCCGGAAACACTCAACTACAATAAGTACTACGCCTCATTAGAGTTAAAGGTTCGTCATTACTGCATCGAAGAATACGCTTGGCTGAGCAGCTGCTTCAAAATCACTGAGGAAATTTACCAGGGCATTGAAGTTTCAATCCCGAAACCAGCAGTTCAAGCGTGTGTCCGGATGGGAAATTCAACTAGCTGAAACACTGGACAAGTGTATGACGTCACGAAAATAAGCCAACGCTACTGGACGAAGAAGTGAAGCAAGTTCTGTCGAACGCATAGCGACGGCAGTGGGTTGAGATGACATTGTCTTCTTAGATTGCACCCGATATAGCGTAAGTTCGGTGGCACTGGATACCTGCGCAAAGGCGACGCAGAAACGTCCACTTGTGGATAAACGCTTGCCAGACCCATAGTGATACTGGAGCAACGCATATGAGCGTATTGAAGTGACATGGCTGAGTTGAGTGGGCTTGTTTTTATGCTAACAATAGCTTGGACATCCCCAGGCGGCGAGTCCTTCTCACACAGCCGCTCCTTCACCGTAGACTACGCCAACAATCAGTTCCTCAAAGACGGCAAGCCCTTCCGCATCATTTCCGGTTCTCTGCACTACTTCCGCGTACCGAGGGCGTACTGGAAGGACCGCCTGCTAAAGATGCGATTCGCAGGCTTGAACGCGGTCGACGTCTACGCTGAGTGGAGTGGACACGAAGTGGAACCAGGCACGTTCAACTTCGAGGGAGACTACGACTTGGGAGCTTTCCTGGACGTCGCCAAGGACGTCGGCCTACTCGTCGTCTTCAGACCGGGTCCCTACATATGCGCGGAAAGGGACAACGGTGGACTGCCATACTGGCTGCTGAGGATTGATCCCGCCATGAGGTACAGGTCTTCGGACGCCTCCTTCATCAAACGCGTCGACAAGTGGTTTCACGTCCTCCTCCCTTTGGCCCGGCCGTTCCTCTACAAGAACGGCGGTCCCATTGTGCTCGTGCAAGTAGAAAACGAGTACGGCTACTACGCTTTGTGCGACAGCTCCTACATGCGCCACCTCGTCTATCTGAGTCAACGCTACCTCGGTCAGGACGTTGTGTTGTTCAGGACAGATGAGCCTAACTCCACCTTCTATGGGTAAGATAATAATTGTTATACGTCTAGTCGGTGCTATTTGGCCATGACTATTATAAAAAAAATTCGGTAGATCCTACGTGCCTGGGAATCAACTTTATGCGAAGCACGCGGAGGAAAAATGACCATGTTGCATTTTTTTTAGCGACAAGTCACATGATGCTAAATATATGTACAAATGTTGCATGCAGAGTAATATGTTGAAGAGTCGCAGATGTTTATATAACCATTTTTCCACTTGGCCAACGATGTCAGCTGGAAATGCGTTTTAGCAACCCCAGAAGCTGATATGAAGCGCTGATGCTCGCGAAGATGCTGGCCCTTGACACTGCTACCTAAATCAATTTCAGCACATGGCATCTCACCACACTTGACGTTTACCCGACGTGACGGCTGTATGAAAGGAGTACATATGTAATGTTTATAAAATTGGGCAGGCAGCACTGCAACTACTAGTGACATTTCACGAAGATTAGCGTCTATTTGAAAAGTAGTTCCGAGACCTGGCGTAGCTCTGTGGTAGAATGCTTGACTACCACGAAGAATGCTTGGGTTCGATTCCTGGTGGGACCATGAAATTTATTATTTGCATTCGTCGGGTGGCCAACGCTGCCTATGTCAAGTTTTTCTTAACACTGCCATTTAATCTATGCCTTCGTTGGGTTGACGCTAGCGACGGCGGGTATTGCTTCACGCTCACGCGTTAAAATCGAACATGTGTGTTCTCGCCGTTCCTAGGTAGATACTAAGGGTCAATCACCTGTGGCACATACCCGCTTACCAACGGCACGTACCCACCCGTGAGTATGTGCCATTGTCTGACGGGAAGTGTTTGACGACGTACGCGACGGCATTGTGACACTATTCATGTCTTGATCAGAGCGTCATATTTGTCAAATCATCCTACCCTCTCATGCTAATTTTGGTTCCCGCCAAGTTAAGGGGGTGACCACGAGAGCACCCAAACGTAAGCGGCTAGATAGGTAGAGAGATACGCTCAAAGTCGCCGAAGTTCGGTAAGAAATGCTTCGCACTTAAAATGTGGCGTAAGTGCGCGTTTTTTTCAAATAATGTCACCAATGCGCAGCCTGTCTTGCTTAAATGTCAATCTAATTGTACCGTTTCGGCATAAAATACAGCACTCACTTTTTCTCGAGTAGTTTGTCGTTTTTCTTGACAATATGTGAAATGCTTCCAAGTTTACTTATCACAATCAAATTACTTTTTCAAAAAAGAAAGAAAAAAGAAATAATAAAACATATCCGCTCTTTAGGTTTATTTTCCCTTTACCCCATCTCCTCAGTGACGAGTAGCAAACAGGATCTTGCAATTCTGTTTCACTACCCCGCATCTCCCCCATATTAATCTTTTCTGTCTTTCTCTCTCTAAAAACAAAAAAAAAAACAAGAGCACACCCAGTCCACGCAGAAAGCGCAGCACAGTCACAGCGAAAGCTGAAACAGCACTATTCCTAGCTGTAAAATCTCGCAGGGTACCATTACAACTGCACTAGCAGGGTACCCACTACGACATAAATAGTATTTTTTGTCCACTCGGGAAACACCCGTTACAGCATTATTAGTCATTCTGCAGAAAATGGAGGCACCCACTACACATGCGCAAAGCATTATGTACACTTTGCTGATGCGGCGGCTGATAAAGAATAATGGCCGAGTCATTTGTAATGAGCTCAAAGCTTTGAACGACCTACCAGTTACGCAATTCCCGTTATGTGACGCGCGGTCATTATCTTACTCTCCTACCAAGCCATATTATATGCATTAGTATGAGAGAAAAAGACAACATCACAGAGATCGTGAGGCAAGAGATCATGGGGATCTTATGAGCCTTTTTGGCAACTTATCCCTATTGGCGTTGGACGCTGGTACCAGTGCGTCTGCGTACCAGCGTCCAGCGCCATGCCTGATTATGGGCCCTGTATGGCGCTGGTACCAGCGCCTCCCAGCGCAGGTACTGGGACGCTGCCGCTGCAGCGTCCCAGTACTCTGCGCAAAATGGCTTCACATGGTTAAAAAGGGGTAGCCCATTCGCCAAATATAAATAAATAAATAAATAAATAAATAAATAAATGAATAAATGAATAAATAAATAAATAAATAAATAAATATTATAGCGCACACTCACAATGAAAAAAAAAATAAAAAAATATAAAAATAAATAAACAGTACTCTGACGGTATTCGAGCTCACACTGCCTGATCTTGAACAGAATATGCTACCAACTACGCCATGCCGGAACATGCATTCGGGCTTGTAAAATGACAATCTATCCGAAGAACACGCCGTTCAACTTCATGTTTACAAGTCGCACAGTTAAGACTGACACGATATTACTTCCCAAATAACAACTGCGCCTTCATTCGACAGTGACGACCGGCTTCCGGGCACCGAATGACGTGCGGATATTAGCTAGAGCACAAAGTTTTGAAGCATCCACATCTCAACTCTGAAAAATCTCAAAATTGACGGGAGGAGCAGCCACAGATTATCAGCTGTCACTGGCGATAGTTTTTTTTCCCCTTTGATAGTCGGTTTTTGCACTTGCTACTGGTCAACATGTACAGATGATTTAAAAGTCTTGTTCGGTAGATATCTGCACACAAGAGTGAATATCGAGTTTGTTTTTTTTTTCTCGCGCAAGCGACGATGTAGCAGTACACATCCGGCGTGCCAGATTAAATATTTGCAGTTATATCGATACCTGCAACTAAGAAACCACCAAAAAAAATGACTAACGCGTACGAAATTACCTACTCAAAATTCCGCGTTCTTACGCACGAGTCAGAGAAGTACCGGCTCCTGCGCTCAGAAGGAAGCTTTTGGTGATAGCCTGCGTTGCTGAAAGCACGACATATCGATCCTCACCGCTCCTGGTGGGGGCACCGCACACGTGATTAAATGGTCCATTTAGGCTTAGCGATGTCTAAACTGTACTTTACAGTCAATCTTACACTTTAGAATTGTGCCTACCTAAAGTAAAAAGCGCCGGTAGTATGTAAACCGACGCGGCCGTCACGATAGGCCTCGCTGGGACGATGCACTGGGTAAGGCCACTTTCGAAGCAGCTGAGTTGCGATGCCTGAAGTTTCTGCATTTGAGCTTCGCAACATTTATAACTGTTACCTAAACTGTACCTCAAGTAAGTAGAAGGTCAATCATTGCCAGGCATGCATTTATGAAGTGGCGATACCATGCGACAGTCGTTTTTCTAGCCTACGCTGGCAGTATACAGTGGGCGTGCCAGTGTACAGATATATGCCGTTATATCAATAGCAACAATTAAAAAGCGCCCAGAGAAATACTAATGCAATCCACTGAAAACGTATGCCAGGGAATGAATTCACGAAGGCGTACCAAATTACCAATTGGAAATTGCGTGTTGTTACATATCAATCGGAGAAATACCGGCTAAGTGCGGCCGGCAGCTTTCGGTGACAGCCTGCGTATATAGCTGAAAGCACAACGTCCGATCGTCAGCGCTCCTTGTGCAAACATCGACACAAGACAAAATAGTTGATTTAGGTTCATGGATGCCTAAACTGTACTTTACAGTTATTCTCACCTTTAAAGTTGTGTGCACACGACACAAGAAGCACCGGTAACACTTATACCAACGCGGCCGGCACGACAGGTTTAATGCTCGCTGGGCCGGGCACTGAGTAAGACCGCTCTAGACGCAGTGAGTTGGGATGGTTGAAGATTCTGCATTTGAGCTGTGGAACATTTCTAACTCTTATCTGAAGTAGGTAGAAGGACAAGCATGGCCAGGCATACATATATGTGGTGTGGTGGAATCGAACGACAGCTTTTTTTCTCTCCTCTGCTGGGAAACCTTACGAAGCGATCGAGAGAGCTCATTGAAGTTTATTCAACTTTGCGGCAGAAACAATTTCTTGTTTCTGTTAAGAGTGGCGTGCAGCTCCAGGCTTACAAACACTGCAACTTGGAATCGTTACAGCAATGCACGGATGATGCGACTATGGCCGGTATACCTGGGGGCATATGCGAAAAAGGTGCATGGTAGAAACAGAGCGTGCTCCAGTATTCACCAGCGCTTGTCAGTGAAAATTCCAGCGCTTCCAGCGCTTCGCAGTGCGCACCAGCATCACAGCAGTTGAGCCAGCACCCCTTCCAGTGCGACACAGCCTTTTCCCACTGCGCCCAGCGAAGTGCCAGTTATTACAAGCGTGTACCTGTGCCAAAAAAAAAAAAAAAACGTACTGACCTGACGCTGATTTTGCAATAGGGATACCAGTACACTTGCGAAGTACCTACTACACTATGAATCTTCATATTTTTTTAAGTTTGGAAGCATACAATATGCCATTATTGGTAACTATGGGATAAGTGTGGTACCATTGCTGTGACACACCCGCGAGGCTCTATGTTCACTTTTTTTGAAGTTGCGTTGATGACAATGAAGAATCATGTCGGTGCATTTTCTGGTCGCTTGGAAGCATTCAGCGACTCGCTAGTAACGCAGTTCGCATTATGTGGCACCTGGTTGTTGATTCACTCTTTTACCATGCTATAATATATGCGCTAACGTCATATCTCCCCGTAGGAATATGGCGAAGAAGCGTTAGTCATGCTGTGGCTGATGACGATGAAAAATAATGGCTGCGTTTTCCTCACGTGCCCTTGATGTTCAGCACTCGGAACATATAGTGCCCAACGTGTGCCCATAAAATACGAGTTTTCTTAAGGAGCCTCAACATCTAGGCAAACTTTATTGCAGCACACCTCATAAATACTTTTCTCCACAGGTTACTTACTCAGGTTAGCAACGATTTTGGCATTATAACTTGCCTATAGTTTGCATTAACAAAGCAAACTAATTTTTTTCTATAGGCAAGAGCCACCCAAAATGATCATGCTTCCGAAAAAAACCAGAGACAAACGGTGGATTTACCCTATAGCCAGTGAATCTCTCATTTTTAAAAACCCTACTTATGCCCTTGTATATGCCTCTACAGGTGCGACCGCATCCTGGGCCCGTTGGTCGCCGCCGACTTCGGCTCGGACAAGAACGTCGACGCCATGTTTCGGTTAGTTCGCAGCGAGATGAGGCGAGGCCCTCTGTACGTAGCCGAGTACTATTCCGGATGGATGGACCACTGGGGTGAACACCACGCACGAGTCGACCAAAACTTAGTGCTCGAGCAACTCGAGCGTGTACTGCGGTACAACGCGTCCGTCAACTTCTACATGTTCCACGGCGGCACAAACTTCGGCTTCAAGAACGGCGCTCATCTACCGCCTCAACCGACGAGCTACGACTACGGGGCGCCCCTGACGGAAGCGGGCGATCCGACCAGCACCTACTTCAAGATCAGGAATATTCTGGGCCGCTACGTGGCGCTGCCGAAGGAGACACCCCCATTCCCGGCGCCGAAGTTGAAGATCGGTGCCGTCAGTCTCAACTCGTGCGCGTCGCTGGACGTTATTCGAGATTTGTTGCGGAAGCAAGGGTACGTCAAGCCCGTGGTGTCGCGGTGGCCCTTGTCTTTCGAACAGCTTGGCCAAGCGTACGGGTACGTCGTGTATACGGTGAAGTGCTGTTCGTTTCGACCGGCGAGTCCGACTATTCTGACTGTGCTCGGTATTAAGAACAGAGGCTACGTGTTCACTGCGCATACGCGTGCGGTCCTCAGCGACAATCACCACGTGACCAGCGCGCCCATTGTGGCACACCCTGGCGAGAACATCACGATTCTGGTGGAAAACACAGGCAGGATCAACTATGGCCTCCGTAATCACGACGTGAAGGTGAAAAGCTAGATTCTGTGTTTTTGTCGCTTTGTGCTCACGTTGAACAACAATAATTTCGGTGATTCTACGACCCAAAACCACTATATGATTACGAGGCGCGCTATAGTGGAGGGCAGTTCAAGTGCTGTGTGTGTGTGTGTGTGTGTGTGTGTGTGTGTGTGTGTGTGTGTGTGTGTGTGCGCGTGCGCGTGTCACTTGATTTTGGTGCTTGTTCAATGGCCTCAGGTAGTTATATCTGAAATTAGTTCTGCAGTCTCTGCTTATTAAATTATTTACAATACATCAGCCAATGCAAATTACGCTAAATATCACAGTTCTACAACACACCAGACTTGTATCACCAACGTGAACCACTGTTCAAAACATCACGTCATAAACGACAGTGCTTTTTAAAAACCAACCAGATTTGTATGCCTCCCGTGTAACACTATTCAAAATATACCCCGAACGTAATAGGTCACAAACGTGCGCAAAAATATTACCAGGGGCTTCATTCACAGGGAATCACTTCTAACGTCACTCTCGGGCACGAAGTGCTTTCCGGGTGGACTATGGAGCCTTTGCCATTGGACAAGCAACACGTCATCAAGCATCTGGCAGGCGTTCTGGGGAGCTCGAATCCGGGCCGACATTGCAGTGTACCTGGCGCGTTCTTAGGGACATTCATGCTGCCCAAGGGCCAGAAAGTACTGGATACCTACCTGGACCCAACAGGCTGGGGCAAAGGCGCAGCCTACGTTAATGGCTTCAACCTTGGACGTTACTGGCCTAGTATAGGCCCGCAGGTAAACCCCTTTTTATATACACACTCGCGCTGAGGTAATCCTATTGTCATCACCCCAACAGTTGGCCTTCTCAATCTTGCAAATTCTGGGTCTCTTACACAGTAGGCTGACATCCTTGTAGAGGTGCCCTAAACACCCCATACCCTCTTTCTTGAAACGATTTCTAGTGAGGAGCAGCGGGCAGCTGCTTTGTGGATCTCGAGGCCCGAGATTCCGAAGGCCGCCCTGAAGTGGGCCGAAAGGTGGAGGAAGCACTCTCCAAGTAGTTCTCCCCCTCCCCCTATACCCAACGACTTGTTTCTCTTTAAAGAGGGACAAATCAAGTTGTTCATCAATTCATTTATTTGTGGCATTCCTCGGAGATAGTAAAATTTTCCATTCTTCAATCTCCAATACAGCAACTCTAACCAGTCCATCAGCACAACTGCAGAACTTGCGCAGACTTTCTTTTCCTACAGGTTTGACGAAACGCCTTTTCTTCTTTCTTATAAAATAAAGCTTATTGCTAGTAGAGCGAATTTGCACATGACTGAGCTATTACATTTTCTGTGTTCTATCAGCTACTACATTGAAAGTTAGCCAAATTGCATACGCATTACCACAGCTGATGGAATTATGCTGGTTATGACTCGACTTGGTTAATAGCGTTGCTAAGTTTCACACCTCGGGGTGGTTTAGTGGAGAAGGGAAACAACAATCACTTGAGATATCGAATTTCATAAACATTAGGATTCATTAACCCTTCGCGGCCGAAAAAAACTTACCAAAATGAGCAAAAATGTTTTTCACTCACTATCTAAAGCCTTTATTTTCTGAATAAAGTAGCACCTTTTTTTAATGCAATAACGTTTGTTTTACTTTTATATTTGCGTAAACATATACAGCGCTCGCGGTATCAGAGCCAGCAACGCAACGAAAAGCGAGAGCACATCATATTTGGTCCAATAGAAGTTTCAATCACTCAACCAATTTTTATACAATTTATTTGTTCTACATAAGACCATTTTTTTGATGAAAAAGTCGTCATTTGTCACGTTTGAGAATATCGCGACAACTATATATGCTCGTCGACGGTCGCGAAAGGCTGGAACGTTAAACGAGTCAATTTACGTATTTTTTTAAGGGGGCGGGCCACACCCCTTCTCCAGGTCATTTATAATAGGGAGACCATTCCGTACCTTACATTTACACAGTACGACCATTCACGCCGTTTTATATTGCACCGGGTTACGGCTACGCATGTTTACGTGACGACAGTGGAGACCAACTTACACCGATGACATATTCGAAAAATTTGTCTTCAGCCAACTTTTACCCGGAAAGTCGGGCACCGACGGCAGGCCTTCGCGAGAGGCACGCCATCACTCCATTTTCATTAGTGCTTCCATTGTGGAGCTTGCTTTCCATCCGACTCGACCAATCGGAGGAGAGGCTGAGGCGCCTCTCCTCCCTTTAATGTCGAACACTACACACGCTCATGTTGACGGCGACAGTTGATTTGAAATGTTTCGGCTATTCACGCAGGTCACCCTGTACGTCCCCGGGGTGCTACTCCACCCGTACCCGAAGATGAACACAATCCTGCTTTTCGAGACCGAGTACACGCCACCGGGAAATCGGACTGTTAGCTTCGTGGACGTCCCCAACATCGGCGGTCCGGTTCCAGGCGACCCTGTGCGCTTCACGGGATAGCGATCTACTTGCGGGGCATCCAGAGTTTTGTCCCCCCCCCCCCCCTTTAGGGCTGTTCCACGCACTTCCCGCACAGCCGCAACGCACGTGCCGGGACCCCAACCGCGCGCAAGCGGGGGACAAATAAGCCAATTCTCAACGCTCTTTCACCCTCTGCAGCGTCACCAATTGGCTTATTTGTACCACGCTTGCATGCGGTATAGGCGTCCCGGCACGTGCGTTGTGGCTGTGCGGGAAGCGCGTGCAACGGCCTTTACACCCTCCGGGAGTACGATTGCTTCCAAGCCTATCCCCCAAGACCCCCCCCCCCTTTTTTTTTCTCCTTCTTTCTTTTTCAGGGAGGCAGTTCTCGAGTGCTTCTCAATGCCCCGCCACCACGATGTAAGTTCCAGAAAGACGAGACCAGATCGAGGAATTGCGATGGGACACTGGAAACGCTAGAAGCCCTCCGTCCAGCTCCTTCTACATCAAGCATCAACACTGGTGGAGAAGTATAATAAATGATGCAAGAATGCAGACAAGTATAAGGACTGAACAACAAACGAGAAAAAAAACGTATTATACGCATTTATTATACGTATTATTCGCATTTCGAAAGCCGCCCACGGCGCAAGGTGATCAGTGATAATTTTTGTCTAGGTTAATCCATATCTAATGTAATATATTCGCCCCTCTTTCTTTGTTTGTCTTGCTTTGGTAAGGACGTACTAAGTGCTGCAGACAGGTGCTGTATATCCAAAAGGGTGGACGGTAGTCTTTCTTGGTAGATCACGCTTTAAATATAAATAGAGAGAGTGATAAAAACAAAACGAGGTTTCTGTTCTCGGTCTCCTCTACTTTTATTGCGCTTTCTATTGAAACTGATGTCATGCTACAAATCACTTTCCTTCCCACAATATAAACATTCTGGCTTATTTCCATTACATTCGAGGAAACATAGAAACAGTACACCACTACGGAACAAACATTCATAGTACCCAGTACGTCTGCTCAACCATTTCCACCTAAGGCCGTTCTGTGCAAAAAATGGCCGTAGGTTAAATTGTATTTGTTAGCGATAAGTGCACCACCAAAGCTTTGATATTTGCTGAGATGAAAGACGTTCTCTAAGTTTGACGAAACTAAGTGACGTTTCGAAACCGCATACACTGAACTGTATTGTTCACTGTATGCTAACCTGTTCACTGACCAGTGAACTGGTCAGTGAACTGAACTGGACGTCGATGTCACATATCCAGTATGCGGCTCCAATGTGTTAGATAATTTCACCACACTTCTTCAGTCCCCGTGTTTCATCTCATTCAATGCCGGAGCAAAGGAACTTTCATCGAACTCTTGCCTACATTGATATGCGCTACTTAAAATCACTTGCTGTCGGTTCCATGTTCAGGTAACACTGACTACATTATTGGCTCGGGCCTCAGTGAGGTCCGGTCTGTGGTCGAGCCAAGCCGTGCCAGGTGGGTAATTTTGTTTAACGTGATAGCGTTAGAGAGCTCGTGTCGCATAAATTCCGCCATCAACGCCGGCACCGTTGGTTGTGAGCGAAAAAAATCGAGAAAAATGCAATTAAAATAAAGAACAAAATTTCGATCCCATTGAGGATCGAACCCGGGCCGTTCACGTAGCAAGCTGGTGTACCACAAAGCCACGATGTTACTTGCAGCTGCTTCAATAAAAAAAAAGATACTACATAAACGCCACGCAGTGGAAGGAGTCTCCTTGACGCATTTTGTTCGACAGGTGTCACGACGCCAAACGAGCCCATTTGGCATTTGTAGGCGCATTTTGGAGGCCATCAAACTGCGTCGAAAAAGGCCGGGACAGGGCCACCATCGCCGATATATACACACAGGAACTTTCAAACAGCTCTACATGTTGACAACTATGTCCATCTAGCGGAAAACATATCATGCCTTTCCACAGTCGTTGATCAAGCGAACAGCAAACGCTAGATAATGTGCTGCCGTCTGTGAGGCGTTGTGAGACTCTTTATGCCCCTTCAAAAAAAAAAAACGCTATTGCAACAAACCACAGCAGTTGCATAGGTTTAGCTTTTCATTCTCACGACACCATTAAAGAAGTCAAGTACTGCAGTTGCCATTTCATAAGGCGACGCTTGTTGCGGTTGGGCGGAAGAGGTCTCTAGAAGAACAAGCCGAACAATGGCCAGATAACTAAAGCAAGACGGACAGAATGTGACCATTTACAAATACAAGATTCACGCCTACGAGCAATTTACAATACAAGACCATGTGACTATATGACTGACAATATTTTCCTGAAGTTGTTATAAAAGTGCTGTTAAACAGATCAAAAACCCGTACCATTACTATAGATGCGTCGCTATTGCAAGCGCGCGCGTTTGTGTGTGTGTGTGTGGTTGTGTGCGCGTGTGTGTATAACAAAACCTATTTTAAGTATGTACTTAGCGGTTGAAGGGCGTACTAGGGGCCGGATTTTGCTATCGTTTTTAACACTGAAAGGCGAAGCTTAAGGGTTCCCAATTTTTCTTTTTTTTCCTTTTTTTTCGGGCCCAGACCAAGGCCGGGCCGGGAATCACTGCCCATGCATTTTTCGATGACCCATCGTTCCTATGCATGGTGGCAGAACAGTCGCAGAGCCAGAGTTCCCTCTAGTTGCTAATGAGAAACTCTAGGCTTCAGTTAAGGACATCATAGATGAAATCAAGAAGAAGAAATAGACATGGGCCGGGCATGTAGCGCGTAGGCAGGATAACCACTGGTCACCAAGGGTAACTGACTAGATTCCCAAAAAAGGCAAGCGTGCTAGGGGGAGACAGAAAGTTGTGTGAAAGTTTACGAAGTTAGCGAATATGAAGTGGGAGCAGCAAGTACAAGAGTGAGTTGACTGGCGAAACATGGACGAGGCCTTTGTCTTGGAGAGGACGTGTTCAGGCTGATGATGATGATGATGATGATGATGATGATTAATATTACGATACTTCAGTTTACATAGACCCATTGTCATTGCGATCATAAACACATCCGATAACAAGTCCTGTCCCGCTCCTGGTGCTCACTGATCCACATGATGATCCCCTTGTGGAAGAACTGTGATGAACCCCTGCCGCAAGAGCACACAGGTTCACAAAACATGCGTGCGTTCTCCGTCAGAATAAACATATTTCATTTTAATATCATTTTATTACCCTAAAAACCTTAAAGACTCTTCTTGGGGGTGTTATATAAGCGTAGATGTAGATAAATTATTCGAAATGGTAACCACATATGTTAATCGCGAGACAGGTATTGTGTTACACTTCGCAAGGATAAAATGAGGCAGGTAAAGGCGGTAATGCTGTAATGGAGGCAATATAAGCACTACGTAACATCTTCACGCTTCTCGTGTTGGTAAAACCAAAGTTTCTGTTGGTATCGTTGCTCAACTATAAACAACTTGTTATTTAAGACATACGCTGCTCATCAACTTATCTGTGTGCGTATAAACTATGTACATATCTGTAGCGTCATTTCATTACGTTGGTTAAGTGAAAAAAGTTACGTCACAGTCACCTACCCACCTCTTGTTTCGTATACGGCGGCTCCCACTGTACATGAGATCTGCCGATTTTTCTAAAAGGAAGTTTGGCTTGGAAAAAGAAGGATGGACGACCTATGCTTATAGTGTTTTTTTTATGTTACCTCACTGCGAGCTAAGGGCCAACTCGCATAAGGCGTTCATTAATGCAGCGTAATTTAATCAAAAGTTGATGCGCCCTGTAGGAAACCCGAAAGCAAAACATAAACAAGTTCGCGAAGTGCTCGATAGACGATTTCACACATGATTTTCTAACTACTTTTCGTTTGCTACTGATTAAGTAGAAGACGCACGGATAACCAATGGATTATGTAGAATAAGAACTCATTAATCCCGAACAATAATGAATAATGAATCTCCGTGAACTGAAAAAGAAGCAAAACAAGAAACTTGGTATTCCTAAATTTTACTGCAGTCAGGGTGTAAAACGGGCGAACATGAATGATATGATTGGCTACATTAAGACCGTCCAACAGCTCTATAGTTGCGGCCCCATATTGGGATAAACGACATCGTTTTCATCTTAATATCATTGTATGTTCGCTTCATGCCGGTGGCGAGTTGTCTATTCGTCCGCTTTTATTTCATGACATTTCTTATACGCACTGCACTATAATTAGTCTACAAACAACATCCCATATACCTTCTTGGGCAGCGTTCTTAGTAGGGTTCTTAGTAGTAGTAGTAACGCTATGTGTAACAAAGGAAACAACTGCTCGTACAGTTCCCTTTTTTCGCTAAGAGCTTGTATAAGTGATGAGTATTCAAGAAGTGATCACTGTCACGAGGAATACATTACTTTGGGTTATTTTATTCAGACACACCCACAAAAGAGAAAAAAAAAACTCGAAACATTTTGCACCGTGCAAAACAACTAGACACGTCATATGCCAGTATGCTACTGGAAAGCGCTGCGCGGCGCTGCACTCACTTGATGATGCTTCAAATAAACAAGAAGCAAGTAGACCACGAAATAGAAGTTCTCCGAAAACACAACGATGAGGAACAGGTCTAATGCGTATACTTCTCCGAATGGCCACAGAAGCTTCGGAGATAAAGGAAGACGTTTTTATGAACTTATCAGGAATGTTATGCGAGCCTTCTCTATAGGCGGGCACGTTTTCCGCAACTCCATGGAAGGCATGGACGTATGGAGCTTGACTGCCATTCTCGTGATCCTGGCCACACCAGCGTCGTGTGACCGCTCCTTTTACATCGACTACGACAAGCACACCTTTGTCAAGGACGGCCAGCCCTTTAGACTGGTGGGCGGCTCGATGCACTACTTTCGCGTTCCCAGACCATACTGGGATGACCGCCTGTACAAGCTCCTAATGGGCGGCCTGAACGCCGTAGACTTTTACATTGACTGGAGCGGGCACGAGCCGGAACCGGAACAGTACAATTTCATCGACAACTATGACGTCGTAGCCTACCTC